AGTGGTTAGCACTGTTGCCTCACAGCAAGAAGGTCCTGGGTTCAATCCCTGGTTGGACCTGGGGTCTTTTTGTGTGGAGTGTGCATGTTCTCCATGTGCTTACATGGGTTTTCTCCAGGTACTCGGGTTTCCTCCCACAGAACAAAAACGTGCATGTTAGGATGCCTTCAGGCCCAGGCCTCCCTTGCAAAAGAGATCTGTGATCTCAGTGGGATTTGCCTGGTTAAATAAAGGTTAATAAATAAATACTCAAAGCTCTTTACACTGCTTGACTGCCTGGCTGACATCAGAGACTGGATGGCTTTAAATTTCTTAAGTTTCAATGAGAAGAAGTCTGAAGTCATGTTGTTCCCTCCCAACGACACTATCACAAACCACTGCATCGACCGTTCCACTCTAGCCCTGTTAGAGAAACAAAGAGTCACTAATCTGGGAGTGATAATGGACCCTTCCTTGAAACTTAGCAGTCATGTAAACATGATTGCTAAATCCTGTTTTTTCCAGCTGAGGCAGCTGTCTATGCTGAAGCCCATATTATCCAAAAATAACCTGGAGACAGTAATACATGCATTCATTACATCTAGACTCGATTACTGCAACTCGCTCCTGTTTGGTATCAGTCAGACCTCCATTGCACGACTACAACTGGTCCAGAATGCAGCAGCCTGATTTTTAACCAGTACAGGCAAAAGAGAGCACATTACACCAGTTTTGGCCTCACTGCACTGGTTACCAGTTCACCTTCGAATACAGTTCAAAATACTCCTGTATGTCTATAAATCACTGAACAGCTCTGCCCCCTCATGTCTCACTGATCTGCTACAGCCGTATGTCCCACCACGTTCTCTGAGGTCAGCGGACCAGTTACTTCTCACAAGACTATAATGAACCAACAACCTCTGCTTGTCAGGCAGGCCCCCCTCCATCACAGTTTTAAAATCCCGTTTAAAAACCCACTCCTATTCCCTAGCTTTCAACACTGTATGATCTGTGCTGAACCTGTATGCATCACACTGTGTTAGTCATTATGTTATTATCTGCTATTTTTTGGTTTTCTATATTTTGACATTTATGTTATGTTATGTGTTGCTGTGTGCTCTGCTTGTTTGTTTCTGTTTGTACAGCACTTTGGTTGGCCCTATCACTGTTTAAAGTGCTTTATAAATAAAATGGTATGGTACACTACAATCTGTGCCTCATTTACCCATTCATACAGCACTCTACTATATCTGTACAAAACTAACTGAACAAATCATTCTAAAGAGAATAATCAGAGCTTTATCACATTCATGCACAGAGGATCGAGGGTCAATTCATCTCACAAGACCCTCTGAGCATGTGGAGGGACATTAAGTGCATAACAGATTATAAAGGAAGGAGTGAACAATGTCCCAAAGACCCATCTCTGCCTGATGCCCTCAACAAGTTCTATGCACGCTTTGAAGACCCGAACAGACCACCCAGCACCAGACTCACCTCACCACCGGATGAAGAGCATTTCAGCGTGACCTCAGCAGAAGTAAGGAGTACCTTCAGGAGGATTAATCCGCACAAAGCAACCGGCCCAGACAACATCCCCGGAAAAGTGTTGAAGGAATGTGCTGATCAGCTCTGTGAGGTGCTGGCAGACATCTTTAACACCTCACTTACCCTGGAGACAGTTC